AATAAAATAATAATAATAAAGGGGGGGGGGGGGGAAAGCGGGAGACAGAAAGGAAAGGGAAAGGGGCATGAGAAAGGGAATGATTCAAGGCATCGCGGACCCGCCGCCGCCGCTGATAACGAGCGGGATGTGAAAATCTAAATGGATTTTATTTTTATTTTTTTTTAATTAAAACTTTAGTGGGTCCTGGGGATCGTGCTTGCTTCGCTTTGCTTTGTAGAATGGAAAGAGATACACGGAGAAATGCAGGCCTTGTCAGGATTTATTGAAGTTGGGTTTAAAAAACGTGCTTCAGATGATTTTTCCCATTTTCTCAGATTTCAAAGGCTCCCCGCAGTGCGGCTGCCTAATTAATGGTGAAATTCAACTAAATCTAATTATGCAGTAATTTTAAAGCAGTTAGTCCTGGGCGCTGCTTTGTAATAGGAACCCAGTTTTTAAAGTTTGCTTAATGTGTTGGTTTAGGGAGCTGGGGAGGAGAGGGGTGTAAGAGAGAGAGCTTTTTTTTCCCGCTCCCCCCTTTTTTTTTGGAAAGCAAAGAAATGCGAAATATAAATCCAAAATACGCTGCGAAAGGGAAGGAGAGGGACTGTGTTATCCACCGTATGTGATACGGGTATTGAGTGAGAAGCTCCAGCGAAAGTGTAAATAACACAGTAGTTAATAGGGACCATAAAGGTATTCCTGGCCTGTGGGTTTCCAAGTGCCAAGCTGTTTTAGAGAGGATCTTGAATCCGACGGTAATAAAGGGGCAACGGAGACACACAGCGTCTCTTCGTGGAAAATAGAAACCAGATTTCTGCTATTGAACATCTATTGTCATTAAGAGGAGAGGCTTGTGCTTACGAAGTTATAAATCTTATCACCCTTTTGATAACACAGTTGTAATCAGTTAGCATCGCATTCAAACGCAATTGTAAAACTGCCTAATTTAATATGTCATACATGTCATTAAAACTTTATTTTTCCCCTTCTTTTTTTCCCCCTTCTCTCTCCCCATCCCCCATAAGTAAAATGTCAACAGCTCTGGCGTGGTCCCGCGCAGCGCGGATGGCTGCGCGGAGCGAGGCATCCCAGGGCTATGGTGAAGGGGGTTTACCCTCTTCCCAGCTAGGTAATCGGAAGCGTTTATATCATATTAGAAGGAGGGGGAAAAAATAGAGGGGGTGGGAGACAAGAGAGGAAAAAGAAATCCTTCTCCTGCCTTCACAATTGCAATCGCTCAATGAAGTTCTTTGAAAGAAACTTGTCTTATGATTAGCTAAGCAAACACATCTGCTTTCCTAGTTTGGGCTTAGCTAATTATCAAAACAAAGGGCCCGTTTCTTCTT